TATTTTAGGCATACTTGGATAGATATTTCTAGGGAAGGTCTTTCCCTATAACGGATAATATAGCGATTCAATCAATATGTTAGCTTTGGTTAGCTTCGGAGATTATCATATAAAATAGCTAAATTTAGACATTAAGAGATTTGCGATTAGTAACAAGATTAACGGATACACAGACAGAAAGGGCTTTATGCTATGGCTATGTATATAAACGAATCAGTATTTGATAATGCCATAAGCTTTAGATTAGCCTAAGCAGGCTCATATATAAGTTCATTAAGGAGTGCTGTCTAATAAAAGCCAAACAGATAATGTAGAGATAATAAACGGCTACTGCTCTGGACAGGTGGAAACTTATTTGCGAACTGAATTCCAAACTCACTTCAGATGATGAAAGTCGTGCGCCTCGGGGCTAGGAAAGAAGGGCAAGTGATAGCCGGAGTGGGCGTTCAGCGTCGAGAGTATGGCCAGAGCGAACCACAGCCAGGCGGTGGCCACGTGACTGCCCATCAGGAATACGCCCAGGAACGGCGGCAATAGATTGCTGAAGATGTGCTCAATGGGATGGCAATAGATGGCCGTGACCGATATGGGTGCGGTCCACTCGTGATGCTGCTTGTGTATGAACTTGTAGATGTACTTGTGGTGGAGCAGACGGTGCGAGTAGTAGAAGCCCAGCTCCTCCATTAGTATGCACACGGTCAGCTCGAAGCAGACCCAGTGGAAAGTTGGCAGCTCGCGTATATCGCTCAGGCCGCGCACTGTCATCAGTTTGTAGCTGAGGAACGCCAGGGGTATGCCCACAAATATTTGATTACAGATCACACGCCAAATGACCTGCAACGCAGAGGGAGACATATTAATACTCATATTCATATTCATGTGCACATTCACAGATTTCAATTTTCAACTCTCAGCTCAACTCGATGAAAACTCATTGGGCATTCGTCACCTTCAGTAGGCGTCCGGCCTCGACGGGCTCATTGGTGCCCGGCTGGATTTTGTATTTGCGCAGACAGGCCGGACGATTGGTCAGGTCCATGAATGTATAAATGCCGCCCACGCTCCAATATACGATCATTGTGAATATGGTAGTGCCAAAGACCCAGAGCACCATGGGATCATCGCCTGTGGGAGGGGAACAAATATCATTTAATATAAATATACATTTTGAAATCATTTTTCTTACTTAAAAAAAAGTCAATTAATTACAATATTTTAATTATCATACTTATTAAACTTATCATCTAACTTTGTCCAATAATAGGATTATTATTATTTTTAATATTAAAAATCCTTATCACTATCACTACCACTATTATGGCTAATCTCATTCCCATTAGATTTATTATAGTCAATTGCATTATCCTTATTATTATTATCACTAATATTACGATTTTAATTACCATTAAGGGTTTCATGATCAATTTAATTATCCTTAACACTATCCCTACCATATTATCATTACTCTTATCACTACTGTTTTCATTATCATTATCAAATGAGCAAGTTTATTAGCTTATCTCTACAAGTGCCAGTTGATCATCATTCTCAGAGTCCGTATTTCAAAATACCTATTACAAGATCTATGACACCCATCCCAGCTAGAGCTATATGACATTCATCACGTATTGCCAGAAGCAATAAATATTAATAGATCTAAGTGTTAACAGTTAAACGACCTTTGGCTTGCAAATCACCGGCATATACATACATATGTACGTATCTGCGTGTTTATAACTGAGCCTATTATTTATTTATTAACAGATATTCACAAATGTAGAGTCAAATTAATGGTAAACCATGAAAGGTATGCTTAAAGCCATAGATTTATTATTATTACTTAATGTATATTATAATTGCTGGAATTGTGGAATAAAGTAAATACGTTTCACGATTTGCATAATCAATAAAGCTAAACAAGTTATATTTATAGTTAGGTATATTATGAGCTAATTTCAATTCATAGATTACCCGTTTTCAGTATAGCTACTCTCAATTCTTCAACTTTAAACTACATCAATTTTCTTTTAATGAAGACAGACCCAGGTTAAATAAAGCTTCTAGCCCCCGTGCACATATTTATTTTTCTTTTTATCTTAAATACATTTGAATGGGCATGAAAAARCGCTCACTTAAATAAATAAACACTTCCAATCGCACACTTACAATATATCTAACACTCTGCAGTAAATATGGGATACTGAATAAAATACATATAGTAGTAAGTTATAGCAGTAAAACAGATATTTACTGACTAATATAAATTATAAAAATAAATATCTGTTATCTACTTGAAAGCGCCTTTGATTCTCTTATAGCTGCATAAAGATTTTATTGAGCAATGGAATTGTGTTGCACAGTGTAATCAGCGCTCCTCGTTTAGCCTTTGACTGTATGTTGACATGTGTGTGTGTATATCTGTGTGTATGTGCGAATTAGTAAAAAAACCAGATGCTGTTTGTTGTTGAATCTTTGCTTTTGTTGCTTTTGTTGCTTTTGTTGTCGCCTCTGGATGTGAGGCAAAAGCGCAATTTGTGATATCTGACGCTAAAAAAGCCAAGCGAAATTAAGGAAAGAAACACACACACACACACACACACGCGCATGGACATAGTTAGAAGTCTTGAGTGCATGCGCACTGAACGAGTGAGATTCTTTTTATGTTCTTTCACTTCATTCCTCTGTTTCTACTTCTTGCGCATTCTCTTTTGTGCACGCTCAATCGTTGTGTTTATTTCGGCCAACTTACCAAACATGTCGATGAACTTATCCCATTGCGATTGCCAAAAGTCTCCGGAGGCGCCCCAGAAGCTCTGCAAATGCCTAGTGGGCAGGTAAGAAAACTCATTGAATTTCTCCATGCGACGCACAGGTAAAACAGAAAAACAAAAAATACAACAAATAAATAAACAAAAATTAACTAAATAGAACTCGCAGCGACTGTTCTCTAGTTCTCGCTCAGTCGGCGGCCGTCAAGCAACTGATTTTGGGGTCAGAATGGGGAATGAGAAAGCGCAGCTCAGCGCGTACAAAGCCATACAAAATGAGAGGAACCGGGAGAGTGAAAGAGAGAGGGAAGGTGGGAGAGAGGGGTAGAAAGGCTTTTCTTTATTGCACTCATATATTTGCATGATTCTACACACGCGTGTGGTCCGTTACATAAAGCTTTCGAAGCTCAGTGAGCTTTGCATTCAGCTTGAAAATATGCAGTGATCTACGTATGATCTTGGAACTATTGTAAGTTTTAGCTTAATATAGTATGCAGATATTTTAGGTATGTGCATATATATAATTTGATCTTTTTTGATAAATGCGTGCACATATATATTTAAATATAGCCGTGAATGAAATTTGTTTATTAGTTGATAAATACTCGTCCATGAAGTGAGTACAAGTATATTAGTTTTTTATATTGTTCGCGTGATAGATTTTAGTATATGTACGTTCCCATCTGATAGTATATCCTATAATCTAATACTTTTAACTTGGAATTTATGTAAATTGTACATATGATAAGGGCGCTTTATGTTAGACAAATTATTCAGCATTTAAATAAGTAGCTGCTTTGAAGTACAATACTCAATCTCTTAGATTGTTATTTTAATCAATCAAATTAGTGTTATCCCTAACATCTTAGGCGAATTCGGTACGGCAGCGATTTGAAATGATCATAGTTTGAGTTCGATTTGTAAAGGTTATCAGAGAGGATAGAGTAAGAGAGAGAGAGTGAGGAGCAAAATTAACTTTACACTTTTAATAAGTTGATCAGTAAACCGCTAAGGCATACGAAGAAACGCCTAAAGCTTTAAAGCTCACAGTGTGATCGATGCATGATGTATGTATGAACGTATAAAGCTTTGCAAATGCACACACGCGCACAGCGCTACGTATACTTACCATGTCAGGACATTGCGAAACAGTATGAAAGCGGCCAAGGCGCACGTGATAATGAATATAACACTATGTAGCGAAGATAGCCACAGTGGGCTATCCATTTCGTCTGTCCAGTTCTGTCCAGCCGCCTGTGGCGTTGCTGCCGTCCCGCCAACATCCAGGGACGTGTGGGCGACAGCAATGCCTGCCGCCAATTTCGATTCGCCGTTTGCGTTGTTGGTGCTGTTGCTGCCACTGCTGTTGCAGCTGCTGTTGTTTGCATGTGGCGGCTTTTGAGCAGACGCTACATATGCTGGATTATTGGACATAGCTATGGTTGATTAGGTTTTGATTTTACATTCCACCAGGATGGAGCAAGTCTCGTTAATCGGCTTGGCTTGGGTATTGCGCGCTTTATTGATGTTCCTGTTATTTTCGTTCTTGTTTGTTTTGCTACGCTTTTTGATGTCCTTGACATTCAAAGCCCTTCGATTTTTCCGTTGAATTTTGTGGATTTGATTTTTGATTTTTGTGCTTTAAATATTTTTTGTAAAATAAAGGACCAGCATTTGCTGTAAACTGTATTTCAGCTGCTTCGACAGTAAAATCGATGTGCCGCTAAAAGGGTAACTTGATTATTTTGAACTTGTTTTTGTTTAGGCACTTTGCCGAAAGCTTGAATTTACACAGGCGCACGCATTTGCGTGCAATAGTATCGCAAGCGTCGAAGCAACATTGAGCGTTTATCGATGTACGATAATGCAATGTGGCTGTGTGCAGTTTCTGTCATCAGTGTGACCGTGCGTCTCATTTATTTTAACCACAATTCGTGTGCCCCTTTGCTGCCACACTGGCCTCGAGCAGTCTTCATTTTGTTTTTGTTGCGCGCGGTTGTGCTTCGCATTGTATGTATAGCAGCAGCAGCGCCGGTCTGACCGAGAGAGACTGACGCCCGTGTGCAGTTAGTTGCTGGCATAGAAAATTTTCTTATTTACTTGTTTAAATTTTTTTTCCTGTGCTATGTGTGTGTGTGTGTGAATTGTTGTTTAAATTAACTGCAACATACAAATACAAAAGCAAGCAATACATACAGCAATTGGCCAAAACAAACTCAGA